TTGACTAAAGGTTGATGTATTAGATTGAGGAAATGATGATGAAGAATTATAACTTGCTTGTGAAACAGTTGCTGTTGCAGAATAACTATTAGCACTCGTGCCGGATGCGGTTTGAAAAGATGATTGAGCAGATTGAGCATTTGTAGAATATGCGTTATAAGTGCTGGGAGTCGCTGTAGGTGCTTGAAATGATGACTTTTGAGATTGATAAGTTGTTGTTGTACCATACGGAGGTGCATTTCCTGGTGAGACTTGTGAAGTGAAATCTTGTTTAGTTATATCTAAAGTTTGTCCAGAACTGCTACCACGAGCAGTGAATGTTTGAGCGTTTATCGAATGTTCACTCGATACCGGTAAATTGTCGCTATTTGATAACTGTAAGTAAATATAGAATTATTCAATAAATTGTAAGCATTAAAAAATGACAAGTAATAATATTTATATAATAAAGTAACCATTTGAGAAGTAGTATTAAAAGGTGTCGTCGATGATGGTTGCGTTGTTTCGATATCCATGGAATTATTTGTATTGGCAGTGTTTACAGCATTTGTAGTAGAAGATACCTCTACACCAGCTATTGTATTATTAGCTGAATTGTATTTTTCATTTGCAGAACCATCAAGAGAGCTTGAATCACTACCAAATTCCAGTGCACCAAATTGGACATCAAGAAATCCAATGCCACTATTAACAGCATCTCCAGGCATTTCTACAGCGCTTGATGGTATTTTTGATGGTGGTGGCACCCTTGGACGTTGTTTTGTCTGCCTCTGAGGCTGATATATTTAAGAAATACAACGATATTCTAGTTTATATATTACATTATAAAATAATTCGTAAACATGTATATTATTTAGCTACCTGGCTGGATATCGACGAGGAGAATGTATTTTGTCCAGCAGATTTCAAGTTTTCACTTGTTTGTTGGGTAAGTTGTGTTAAATATTGTGTTTGGGCAGCTGTTAATACCCCACCACTTATAGCGTTTGGTTGCTGTGATAGCTGCATTGTAGGTAAGCTCAATACAGGTTGTTGTTGTTGAGTTTGTTGAATTAAAGTTTGTTGTTGTATTGGTTGTATTTCTGATAATTTTGGTAATTCCTTATATGCATAAATAAAAAAGATACTTTTTGTTACATGTAATTACTAATATTGATTTAAAAAGCAATGTTACATACTTCCTGTTGTAGTAATGATAAATTTACAGTCTGGTTAGGTTGCACTGGTTGCAGATCTTGAGTTTTTGCTTCTTCTGTAGAAGGTGTAGGTTCTGCTGCAGAAGTGCTTGGTGTAAAAACTTTTGTATCCGCCAATGAACCTGTATATTCTTCATTCTCCCAGTCTTCTGCAGAATCCAAATTATTCCATGCATCTACTCACATATTTTTGTTGTGTGAGATAAGATTAAATAACTTAAAATGTGAATAATTGAAATATTTAAACAGACTTACCCATCTTTGGCTCCTGAGCAGCTTGTTGTTGCTCTTCATTACCTGTCCATGTATCAATTGATCGATTAAAACTATGAGCAGATGAAGTAGATGATGGGTCATTACGGTTAGCAAATGTTCGTGGACCGAGTCCTCTCCCTCCACCTCGTCCTCCTCGACCTGGTCTTCCTGGACCACCTCTTCCTCTTCTGTTACCACTGTAACTTCCATCACGAATACCATCTTCCATGTTTCTTTCGTTCTCTTTATTTTCTCGACCGCGCCCTAAATAAAGATTTATTTAGACACGTGGCATCAATAATATATATCAATATGTATAATATTTATCTTAACGTACATCCACGATTATCATGGTTAGCACGACCTCGCATACGTGGAGGACCACCTCCTCGTTGATTACGCCTCTCATCCCAATCACCACCTTCATCTTGACCACCAGAGGTATCCATATTTTGTTTTGAACCACTAGGTTGACGAGGCTTCTTTTTTTTCACTTCCCATTCTGTTTTTACTCCTTCCAAAAGATCATTAACGGCACGGTCCAAGTCACCATCACTATCATGTAAAGCCATAACAACTTCATCTTCTGATCGTCTAGTCATATCCATGACTTGCTTTATGCGCTCTTTCAAAACAGGATCTTCACCGCTGCCCATTCTAGTGTCAATGATTTGTGCATGCCGCATCTGAACAGTGTTTGGCTACAACGCCATATTTTTTAATAAAAATTCTTTATTGAATAAACAAAAAACAAAAGTGCATAAAAAGACATCTTTCTATCACTAATAATAATAAAGTAATTAGCTATATTTACTGACCTGCGTTTTTTCATGCTTTATCGAATCCGATGCTTTAGTTAGATGATGATCTGATTTCCCATGTTGTTGTGATGATTTATTTTTATTGGTGCCTCTCCCACCGGAGGACACCGATTTGTTGCTTGAACTCATTGCCAACTAAACTGCCGCACACCTATATCACTCCCTTATCACACTATATACACTCTCTATTTACAGTCTGTAACAAAGAATACAATTAATTGTGTATATCTAATATAATATACTGAAAATAAATACTATGTGTTATAAATACATCTATTAATTCAAACTTAGTTTTATTAACTAATTAAAATATAAAAAGTCAAAAACATTATTTTATTTTATTGCAATGTATAATATATTGCAATAACAAAACTACATATAATTCTGAATTTTTTTTTAATTTTGTGAAAATTGAAAGTATTTGATATTAATTATAAATTTTACATTCTGAAAGTTATATAAGAATTAAAATTAATGTCTGTAGCAATGTTCTAATAGCAATTAGCTATTTTTCACTAATGATGAATAAAGTATAAATAATGCACAAAATTATTGATTCCAGATTATAAAATGTAACTTGTAATATTATAAATAAGATACATACTTTTAAAACACTTTCTAATTTTCTAAAAATAAATAACATCTTTTAGAATATATGATAAAATACATAAATTAACTAAAAAGTTAAAAGACTAATTCAACAAACTAAATTTTTCAGTAAATGACCATAGATTAATATCACATTTTTTCTAAATAAGAAGTAATTAATATTAATTAAGAATATTAATTTGATATCAAGAATAAACCAATATCATACAATAAAATTTCATACCATTAAGTAGATAAATATAATGTAAATATATAAATACACAAATTAATATTTATAAAAAATGTATAACCATAAATTACTTGTATATGTACTATCATCAGATAGATTGTATAACCATGATTATCACACATAATTATATCTAATAAAACTATGGATTTTGAAGAATTAGCGAAGAAGAATAAAATACATCTTGTTCAATTTGGGAATTTTTAGAATACCCACATAACCCACGGTATTAGCAATTATACCATAAAAATATGCATTTTGAAAATAACCTAAGTGAGAAAAACAATTGGTATTTAAAAACATTTTAACAGTTATAAAACATGTCAAGCACAATATCAAATCACATTTATGAAAATGTGTGTATGAAGAATTAACAATAAAAAAAGTCGACATTAAATAAACGTCTGCAAGATACAATTTTATTTCTACCTTTTAAGCATAGATGAAAAGGTTAGGGTCGGCTAATGATGATAAATACAAGATCAAACGATTTAACAGATATTTCTTAAAATAGTCACGTTTTTCCTAAAACGGTTGTCTAGAAGAAGAACGAATAAGTAAGCGTCAGGGCGATATGCAGAATGATCTAAACCTTATCCACAAGATTTTGCGAAATTCCCAAGGACCATGTCGTTCAATGCAAACGATTAAATTCACCGAAAACACCGAAAAGATTTGTGAGCTTTCTTCCCGCAACACAGAAGATTTCAAATGACGATGAAGTAATAAAAAAAAAAAAGAGAGAAATTTTGACGTGCGCGGTGAGAATATGACGAAGGAGGATTATCTGGCGCATCACAAAAAACACCTTGTCCGTTGCGTTGTTGTTCGTAAGCGAGTTGTGAAAATTCTTCAAACGGATGATAAAGAAATTGGCCGTGTAGAGTTCGTTATATTCCTGAATCGGTACTATGACGTTGATGTAGAATATTTTCCGCAGACCATGTGCACGGTAGACGCCATTTCTGGTTTTGCGAGGAAGGCTTGTCAACCATCGCCGCGGTGGAGCATCGATAGATCTCCGTAAGATGATTGAGTCAAAGTATTTGCAAGTAACTCACAGTTATTATAAGCGTTGTTTGCGTACTCGAAGGACACGTCCGGAGTCAGAAACAAGCGAAATTCACGACGCCTCGGCTTTTTCGGCCGTGGCGCGCGAAAAACCACGAAAAAAACAACGAATTTACTCGTACCTGGTTAGTGCGCTCAAAACGCAGCTCGGTCACGTGACCGCGGGCCCCCCTCCCTGACTTGGCAGCACCGCCTCTATGCTTTATCGGGCTCCATACGGGTAGCCGATTTTATACTAGAACGCTCAGGTTTGTTAACTAGACAATCAGAAATTTCCTAGGTATAATCAACACTTAATGAAGGCAAGTTAAAAGCTTATTTTCAATTACACTATTGGGCATGTAATAATAGAGAGAAAATCCTTTTTGAATCTATTTCTAATAGTTATTATATTGCACTACTTATTTTATTCAAATATTTAATTATTTCTTCTATATTAATATATATGTTACATACAGTTAAAAATTTATTCATATATTTATTATTATTTTTATTAGTTAAATGTATCCATTCTGAATAACTCACATAATAATACATTATCTTAGATAATATTTTATCGATATTGAAGTACGTTTTTCTCTAGAATTTGAGGATATGCGTATATATTCTATCTGACTCTATCAACATGATTAATTGAATCAGAAAAGTAAAATCGCGTGATCAAAATTTGAGCGACACAAAGTAGAATTTACAGAACAGAAAACTACTTTTTCAAACATTAACCTCTTAAATAATAATATTAGATGTATATTTGTTACCGTTTAAATGTACTATATTTAGTCAAATAGTTTAAATATTTTCTATAGTGATATAAACATCCCTGCAAATCATAATTCACTGACGACTGCTAACCAATTCCTAGAGCCGTTGCACATCTATCACGTGACCAAGTTTGTTTATAACCGCAATTATGCATTACAACTGTAATTCCTAGTGATTCAACTTTGCGTATATGTACATGTATCACGGATGTGTACATTGCAAATTCAGTTATATGTATCTATATACATATTTATATAAAACAAATATTTCTGTATATATTTGATAAGTTTTAATTGCCGAACCATGAAATGTTTTCCTTATTATTTTATTGAGTAATTACAGATAATAAAGACATTTGTTAATTTAATTGTGTTTAAGCTATACGATTATATACTATCAATTTGTAATTTCAAGTAATGTAATTAAGTTTAAAAAAAAAAATTTTCAAAATAAATACATGTATTAAATTACACATGTTACAATGGATTCGTATATAATGCAGGTAATGTGTTAAACATTTAATAACATATAATATGCTGTAATTAAAGAAATCATTTATTTCGAGGTTATATTTACGTTTATAGATCAGACGTATGTGGTTGAATCAGGACGGCGATGGTTTAGCGGTAAATAATACATATTTACATTAAAATATATTTACACACACACCAATTTTACATAAGCACTTCATATAATTTTTTAATTTAAGGATTTATTGTCTTTACGGCATAATCATGTTTCAATTTCACAAATTGGATCTGAAACTGCAATAGCAAAAGCAATGGAACATTTATCTGCTCCACTTGATGACTTAGTACTTTATCATTTAAAGTAACTAAATATGTTAAATATTGGTATATTCTTATAACTATTATTCTAAATGTTGACTGTAATATTTATATCCTTAGAACTATAACAACAATACATAAAGATGACCCATTGTCTATGTATAATTATCAAAGTTCTGCAGTTCAATCTTTGACAAAGATTCTTCAAATGCAAAAGGAAGAAAATTGGATGTTGCCTGTTATGAACGTAATGTGTTTAGAATTACGGTTATTAGCAGTTTGTGCAGAGAATACAAGATCCAGCAAAAATATGAAGCCTGGAGAAATTTTGGAGAAATGTGCAGATTGTCTAATGGGATGTTTTCGAGTATGTGCTTGCGACAATCGTAGCTCAGAAGATGATACAAAACGATGGGGAATGCTGGCATTAGTTAACCAATTATTAAAAATTTATTTTAGAATAAATAAATTGCATTTATGTAAACCTTTAATAAGGGCAATAGAATCGTCCCCATATAAAGCACATTTTGCATTAGCACAACAAATTACTTATAAATTTTTCGTGGGCCGTAAAGCAATGTTTGATAGTGATTACAAAGCTGGCAAGTATTAAAATTTGATAGTTATTATAATAAACTTGACATTTTAATCATTTTATAAATAATTATCTTATTCATCTTTTAGCTGATGAATATCTTACTTATGCTTTTGAACATTGTCATAAACAATCTTCAAAAAACAAACGATTAATTTTAACTTATCTTGTGCCAGTGAAAATGTTATTAGGGTATATGCCTAAACATAACTTATTAGAAAAATATAACTTAATGGAATTTGGAGAATTAATGGAAGCTGTTAAAAGAGGAGATTTATGCAATCTTGAAAAAGTGATGGAAAAACACGAATTATTTTTTATAGGAGCAGGAATATATTTAATTGTGGAAAAATTGAAGATAATAGCATACAGAAATTTATTTAAAAAAGTATATTTAGTATTAAATATACATCAGATTCCTATTCAAGATTTACTTTCAGCATTGGAAATGCAAGGAATTGATGATGTTGATATGGATGAAGTAGAATGCATTGTGGCAAATTTAATTTTTGAAGGAAAAATTAAAGGATACATATCTCATCAACATAAAAAATTAGTCATCTCTAAACAAAATCCTTTTCCAAGACTTTCAACTATACTTTAATTATCTTTAGATTACATGTATCTTTCTGTAAGAAATAAATTTAAATTCAATAAAATTGATTTAATTGATTTTAGTACCTTCAACAATTCTAGATCTAAATGTAAATATCTATAATCTGCATCATCATATAAATAAAATCCAATTTGTTTATTATATTTTAAGATTACAAATTAATAAAATTTGAAAATCTAGAATATGTACATATGTATGTATCATTAGCTCTTTTTGATCAATTTAAATTAGTATTAAAATGTTTAAATTTAAATGATCCTAAATTCCTTAGTGATGTAATATAATAAAATGAGATTTGATGAAATATGTATATACAGAGAGAAAATTCTTCCTGATAGAAAGCTCTTTTTATCCTTCTCTTACTTATGACAAGAAGTGAATAGAAAAGCTATGTATTCGTTTTTCTTAATTATTTTTAATTATACACACATTAATAATTACATACATATGTAGATTTCCTGTTGCAGTAATAATACTTTTTTATTTTAATTTATATATATTCAACAAAGCAAAAGTGTATTTGTATAAATGATGTAAAAATCAAATTTGTATTATTTTTAATACAATTTTGTATGTAAAAAGATAAATTTAAAAATAAGAAATATTTTGCGAAAATTATATATCGATATTTTCTTTCAATCTCATATGAATATAAAGAATTTCGACAACTCCACTAAACGAGTAGGCATATATATATATATATATATATAATATATAATATATAATCATAAGATATTATTTCTATACTCCATTATACTTCCATTATTTAGTAAAAAGTTTAAAGTAACCCTTTTTTACAATTATTTATTAGAACTTCGAATTTCGAATGATTATGAATCGTAAAAAATGATGACTATTAATATTTACGTATCTGTATTGAAATATAGATTATGGAATGTTAACCTAGAGACTTCCTCATATGACATCTTTCACGTGGCTTTAACAAACCCTAAGCAATTTTAAATACTTACGAGATTGTCTACGTCATGTATTGATTGTTAAATAGATATTAATTGTTTAAATATATTAAATACTTGTACCTATAATTTACTAAGAAAATGACGGTAAGTTACAGTATTATTTAAAATATCGTTCTTTTTCTCTTTTTTTACATCTTAACCATTCTGGATATGCAATTATTTCCGTATGATTTGTAATGTGTCATTGCATAACAAAGTCAATCAATAATTATCATTTTTTATAAAATTGCTTTATAACAATATGAGTACTAGGTAAAGTCATTCATTACATTTCTAGATAAAAAAAACTAAAGCAGCAACAAAAGGTGCAAAACAGATAGTGGAAGAAAATAAAACTACATTAAATTTTTATCAAAATATGATAATTGGAGCAATAGGAATATATTTTACTGTTACAATGTTGTTCTTTAACTTTACAACATTATCAACTGTGAGTTTTGTATTTAAGGTATTATTTTTATTTTTAAAGTGTACATATATAACAACATATATTATTCTATTATGTATTATGATTACAGACATTAACCATATTTTCTGCAATTGTATATATAGGAAGTTATCAGTTTATGAAATATATAGCACATGCAACATATTCAGAATCCGGACAGCTTTTAGATTCTGGAATTGATCTTAATATGGAAGGAGGTATAGCAGAGTAAATATCACAACATATTCTAATGATTTCTTCAAATAATATAACACTTTATTAGACTGTAACAGCTTTGATAAATATAATGACATTTTAATGTTATTTCAGACATGTAAAAGATTTAATTATATTAACTTCAGGAGTACAAGTACTCTCTCTTATATCAAATTACTTTTGGTTGTTATGGCTTCTTGTAAGTATACTTAGTAAATGATAGAAATATAAAATAGTACATTGACTCATCATAAATTACAAAACAATTTAAAATAACATTCTTACAATTTCCTCGCGATTTTCGAGTTAAAGTGTACATAAAATGTTTAAATAGATTATGAAATATTTTGTATTATTACAACAGGTACCATTCAGGGGAGGTTGGATGATATGGAAACAAATATTAGCTCCATGGTTTTTTGCCTCTACTCCAGAGCAACCTGAGATTAGTGAGAAGAAACAACGGAAGTTGGAAAAAAAGATGGCTAGACGGCATTAACATTTTGAATAGAAATAAGCATGCATTTTGAATAAATATTAAAAAATTTAATGGGTGTAGGATAAAGTTGAGCAACATTGTGAAACAAGACTGCTTATTATTTTACTTTTGTCTTAGCCTGCATTGTTTCCTACATTTTCTATGTTTATGAACAGATTATTTTCATGTCCTCTTATAAATTTATAAACTTTTACATAAATTATAAGGTCAACTTTTTACAAATTGAATAATATTTATGAACACTATCATATTAATTTTGGCAATTTTTGTATCTAAGAAAAGAAGTTTATGAAGTGTAATATAAAAATAAACTTTTTATAATTTTTAATGTTTTATATGTCGTTAACGACTTCTCTATGTCCAATTTCTAATTTTTGGATTAATTCATTTTATATATTACTAAAGTTATTATTCTGTGTGATAATTTAGAAAAAAATTATTTTTATACAACTTAAATGTAAGTAAGCAAAACATTCATTTCATATGTACATACGTATATATACACATATATGTATTTATAAAAACAAATTATATTTATTACACGACAAATAGTAGTCTATATGTAAACAAGTAACATAAATTAAATACTTTTATTTGGCTTTAATGAAAATTAAATATAATACTAAATGGAATGTACTCATCACCTATTTTATATTGTTTTTCTTTATATATATATATATATATATATCGCAAAAAAGTGCATCACAGTTTATTGAAATACAGTGGTCCATATACCACATTGGCTTGTTATGTTACTGTTATGTATAGTTATAAATGTACAATTTTTGCAATATTGCAATGTACTAAATTTTTATTTTCACTATAAAATTGCACAGCAAATGAATACTTCCTAACTGTATGCTTCTTTTCTATGAAGAATTATTGTTATATGTCATACTATATGCCAATATTACTTGGAAAGAACTTTTCATTTTTACTAAAGTTTCAGTAACAAAATAAGAATATGATAAAATGCTGTTTACAAGCTTAAAATATTTATGATTTAAGGAGTATCTACATCTAAACCTTTCTTTTTTCTGTAATCATGTTCTGATTGATACCCAGGTGGATGATTATGATCATGTACACCTGTAGGCATAAATCTTTCTGCAATAACCGCACATTTACCTTTACAACCACGATGCTGTTCAGCACATCTATAATGAGACCTATTCAATCCCTCAGAGCGAGAAGTCAAATTGTAAACATAACCCTCATGCACTAATTGTGGTCGACCTCGTGCAGAAAGCCTGTAAATTACTGGTTCAACATCTATAATGTTAAAATATAATATTAAGACTAAATTTTATTAGTTACTAAGTTTTTTAAATTTTATTAATTTCAGAATATTATTTCTATGTTAATCTTAAACCACCTATATATTTGATATCTATATACATCCTCTACCTTGCTGAGTTGAATTTTCTCTTGAATTTTCAGTATTCAAGGGAAAAGGTAGCAAAGGGCTATCATCACTTTTATTATGATCATTGATTTTTATAGTAGGAATATTAATATTTTCTTCCTCATCTACAATTTCATTTGTCTCATTATTTGTGTCAGTCGTCAAAAACAAAACTTCGTGATTATCATTATCCACTTTCTCATTAGATAGATCATGAATATTTTCTGTTGTTAAGGACATATCTTGTTTTTTTCTCTTGTAACTTTTTTTTGTTATGTCATGGGATCTCTTTCTTCTATCTATCATTTCTATTTCTTTGGAAGTTCTATTTATTGTACTTAAATTTGATTGAGCAACATTTTGTATATTACAATCAATATCTGATTGAATATCACAACTAGGAAACGATTTTGTGCTATTTGTATCTTCTGTTGTGAGTCCTCTTATCTGTAATGTTTGTGCTACTTTTAGAAAAGTAGATAAATCTTCTTGATTGATATTTATTTCACCTTGATACATGAATTTCAATAGTGACTCAATTTCAGTATACTTCATGTCCTTAAGTATAATTACTGGATGTTGACAAGGATTTTCCTACAAAATAATTCTAAGAAGTTCTTTTCTGAACAATCACAACTGATATAGATATAGATATTTAACATGTAAAAAAGATAATTTATATACCTTAAATATATTTTTAAAGTATGGACTACATATTGACAGAACCAGTTTGTGTGCTTGTAACAATTGACCTTCCACTGCAAGTGTAACATCAACTAGATCATTTTCAGTAAGATGACTTAGAAACCCAGATGTTAAATTGTTAGAAAAATTGTTCCACTTTAAGGAGAATTGTTCTGACAACGAATTATTTGCCATGTTTATCTATAAATAATAGGAATTTCTTTAATAACACATTTCATTAAAGCTTAAGAATAAAATATATAATTATAAAATTAATAACTGCAAATTTAATAATTATTTATGTAATTACAAGAAAAATTCAATTCCTTCTGACTATTATAAAGTATTACTATATCTAAGTATTTAAAATATACAGAATTGTACATAGTACCTACAAGAAATATCTGTAGATATCAAAGAATACAAAGAATGGAAATATAATACTATGTTATGTGTTATGAATCATATCATGGTGACAAACATACTATTGATTTCGAAATAATCGCAGGTTTAAAACTGATAATAAGTGATAATAAAAAGAATATTCTGTGTAACATATATTAAATATATATTTTTGATATGTATAGAATAATTGTTATGCAGACAATTTAAAATAAAATTGGTTTAAACGAATAATAATGATAAAGATAATTTTAGCTGAAAATGAAAATGATGTTACCTTCGATAGATATGTGAGATATGCTTGCTAGAGAAGTAACATTTTTTTAAAAAGCATTCATAAAATTATATGAAATTCATTACACTATCAGTTATATAATTATACTTAGTTAAAAATTGTTACTTATTATAATTTTTAAAGTGTTAACATGAGTTAAAAGGTTTATAACTAAGAAATTAGAGCTGTATTCTTTTTAATGTCACGATTAAAAAATATATCGGTACATATCAGTACATATGTAATGTAAAATTTATGTAATAATATGTCATTACGTAAAATCTATTTTTAATAAATCAATTTTTTTAGGTATATTTTATAACACTGATAAATGACAAATCAGTAAGTTGTTTGTCAATAATGACAACATTTTTTGCTTATTTATTTAATTCACTTTTTAAGATATATAATACTAGGTAGTAGGAATTTAGTGTTATCCTCATAAATTTGAGTAACTTATATTTTAACTATTGGTAGCTTACTTATATTTACTCCTTTCATAAGCACGATCCATGAACATATGAACATACTCACGACATAATATATTAATATTTGTTATTACTATAGTATACTAAACTGTGAATATATCTATGTCTATGGCACCATCATATAAATAGGTCTCGATACTAATATATCGAAGCCTAGGGAAAACCGTCCGAAAATTGAATCATGAAAATCAACATGGTAGATAAGAAAGTTCTTATTCTGTGTATGTGTGACATACTATGAATGCTCAGATAGAAACAGAGATAGTCTACTCATCTCTGTTTGCCTCGAAAAAGCGAGAAACTTGTCCTCCATATTGATAGTGACTAGTGACTGCCGAAACCTGTGTATATGACTGCGTTCATAAGTGTGCATTATACTGAAGTTTGCAGAGTACAATTGCATACTTGTCGTTAGTCGCATGTAAGTTTACGTGTCCTATAAGCCACGTCAAAATATTTGATACAATGGTGAGTGTAATATTTATTCTATTATGAAAATTTATGTCACATAGAGTAACGTCACTTTTTATTATCCTTTTATTATATTTAATCCGATATTTTATGTTGTAGTACAGTTATAATTTTATGGAATCCTTTCCCAGCATTTCTTCACCAAAGATGTATATCTTCAAAACTTATTAATATTAAACTATATATTTATTTAATTGATAATATGTACATTTATATGTGTTTTACGTAATATTGTTTTTATAAAATCATTCATGCAAAAAGTTTTATTCTGCTTGAAGAAAATAGAAAACTGTAATTATATTTACATTAATTTTAATTTTGAAATTTGGAAACAGGTTTCATAAAGATATTTAAAAATTTGTATGTATGTCAAATAAATGAGAATAATTATTTGTTTTCCTAATAAAATCTTATTATTTTACTTTAGGTGGAAATCGAGTCTATGACAAGATATGTCTCTCCCATAAATCCTGCAATTTTTCCATTACTGGCAGTGGTGTTACTAGGAATTGGAATATTCTTTACAGCATGGTTCTTTGTTTATGAAGTTACTAGCACAAAATTTACAAGGGACATGTTTAAAGAATTATTAATCTCTCTAGTAGCAGCAATATTTTCTGGTTTTGGTATATTATTTTTACTCCTTTGGGTTGGAATTTATGTATAGGTACATTATTTTCTAAAAATTTAAGTCAATACAATTAAACTGTAATTTTTTATAATATTTATAAGTCTCACTTTTTTATTGCAGATTGATTCGATTAATGAGAAAAACTAATTTTAGGATTATGTGTAATAGCATTTAAGAAATTATATAATAATCTCACATCATTAGGAATAAAAACAATGTATTTTTACTAAATCGTGCAATGTAGTGATCAATCTATACATTTATCACACAGTGAACAAGCATTTATATTTTTTAATATGTATCTAAAGTCACTATTTGAGGTATATGACTTCTTTCCATAGTTTTAAAAAAGTCAATTAAAAACTACACACTTTTTACACATTTTTAAATACATTACATTTTGAAATATAATTTCGTAAAACAAAGATATTTATTTTTAGTATAATTGTTTAAACCTTCATTCGTTCATTTTGTGTGTGTATATATATATATATGTATGTGTTTGTGTATGTTTTTTGTTCAGTTTTATGTATAAAAGTTTTACGTTCAAGTCCTTTGTTATGAACAAAATGTATACAACATGAAACAAAAATACATCACTGTATATATAGCATACAATTTCTATAACGAGGATGCTTCTTTTTTATAACATATATCTCTATCCCTCTATTATTGTGGGATTTATATAGTTTGTTTTGCGTACATCATTTGTAATAAAATAAAATATTGAATAGTGTAACTTCGTAAAAATTGAGTATAATGTTTAACCAGCCAAACCCGCTTTTTGGCGACAGCGTTGCATAAGTGCTCTCAGCATAAATTGTCTGCGTGAAAGCTGTCGCACTTGTTTCAAAAATGCATCTAAATCTATGATACCACAACGTAAAGCTTCACCCAAATAATATATAGCATCTTCTGTGGCTGCTTCTTCCGCAAACGCGTTTAACATTCTACAATTGTACAAAAAACAATAATGTTACTTAAAAGAATTGAAAACAAATAACTATTTAAAAATACATACTGTTTATAAAGTGGTGCGATCGTTGTAACAGCTTCATCAACATCTATTGACTGATTGTCAGAAAGTTTTGCAATTTCTTTTTCCAATTCAGCTTCTTTGTCTTGGAGTATAGTTATATTTTTTTCAAGTTCGGCTTTCTCTTTTTTTAATCTTTCGAACAAGTCGGTAAGATGGGTAAATCCGCTTGTGAGTTCTTGTTGTGTTCGACGTAACGTTTCCAGCTCGGCTACCAATTGTGAGAACTGTTCTTTAAGTCTTCGTCTTAATTTATCTTCTACTGCTGACAATAAAGATGCTCTAATATGTTCTTCTGTAATTGTACCTGATGCACCAGCTGTGGCAGGCACTGTTGGTGACTTGAAAATTGTAAAAAGGAGATGAGTACTAATAATGTATATTATTTACCTGTTAAAAATTATAACTTACTGGCTGTGTTGATGGAGGATATGGAAAGGAACCAGTACATCCCTGTGATGGATAATTTGATGCACTTCCTCCATATGAACCGTACGAGCCCTGGTATGGAAACCCAGAAGATGTAGTAGACATGTATGGAGAATAAATATTACTCCCACCTGGATACTGCGAATTTTGTGGATATGGTGGGAAATTAGAACCAGGTATATGTGTTCCACTTCCAGGTACAGGCATGAAAGCTATATAAAATTGTATTCTTTAATAATAGAATTTTCTTTAATAATAGAATAATAGAATTTTCATGTGAATATTTAAAAATGACAAATACTTACGTTGTACTGGATAAGGTGTAGAACTTGTTTGTATACCTTGTCGTGGTTTAGCATAAACAGGTGGTTGGTCTCCAAATGTTACAATCATTATTTGAATTAGACTAAGTAAATCAGATGAGTGCTAAACATAATAATGATACACTACTATAATGATATCATAAGATAATGGATAATAAGACATAACTATATACAAGTTACTTACTGGCACCCAATCATGAAGATATGGTAAATAAATTTTCCCATTATGATCAACAAACATGCTCACTTTAATGTCCATATCAGCAGTAGGCTTAACATAGCACATAGGTGCATTATTAGGATGTGTATCCATTAACCATATACATATAGGAATGTTGTAATAGGTACCTAAAATCAATATAACATAAAAATTTGTTTTGTACTTCTTCAATTGCTTTTTACAGAAGTATCTAATTATATCACCTTTAAAAGAGACAGGTATTGTTCCTTGTAAATTAAACAATTCTTTGCGTGATCCATCATTAAATACTGTTATAAGATAAAATACATTAGCAATAAATTAATGAATTCATGTTTCTTATATTTATTTTTATATATTATTATAAAGTTGGAAATAAATACATTCTTTTTTAAAGAAGATACATTTCTTACACTTACCAAATGGTTCTACATTATATTTTAGACCCTTATAAAGACTCAAAACTTTCATGACATGTTTCTTAGTGATGTCAGCATTTTGATACTTAAAGATAAGATACATTTTATAAATATCATTGAAGTGTATGTATTAGAAATAATATTAAAAATATATGTATATACTCCAAAAAAATATACAGTACACACCTTTGATAAGCTTTGCTTTATTTTCCCTTCATCTAGAGATGTCATTTTCACCATCTAACCTCGTATTTTAGAATTACTGAATATAAGAAAGATAAATAAAACGACGCTTTTCTCTTTAAAGTACGAATGATTTTCTACCGATGTTAAATATCAAAATTTCTTAACAATGAATATTCTACGGAGCAATTATATTACCGTGTTATCTTTCGTTATACGTATTTGAAAGCTTCAGACTTACATTACTGTCAACCTTACATGCATATAATGAAATGTTGTTTAATTTTTTCTACTGCTACAATTTGTAAGTAAATAAACTGAGTTGATTCATTCGTCTGTCACTTAAAGTGTCTTGAACATTACAATACCATGATTCGGTATTACTTGTTACATACTTTGAATCAAGGAACAGAGAAAATTATTGAAAGGAGGTTGCAATAATCATCGACTCCTCAATAACGAGTTAGTGCTGCCCCCGGATATATGTATACCGGACATTTTAAAATCACGCAAAGAGAAAAACTAAGAATATGTTAAATTCCTTGTTATTTATTGCCACATACAATAAGAAGAGTTATAATATAAAATTTTAAAAAATGAGGACATTTTTTATGAATCTATGAATGATAAAGAGAATATTTTAACGAGAAGAAACTGTTAGACAAGAAATATTTCTGAAACAATACAAATTTGATAATTACTACTTTTGATAATTTGCAGTTGTTTATGTTTATGGTTTAAACATCTTTTATATTATTATAAAAGTTAAAAAAATGTATGTATTATGTCAAATGTTTACAACAATCAAACCTTGCTTAACTAATATAGTTTATAAATATTTAAAACGATAAAAGGAAGATTAAATATAGAATAACTGTATTTATTAATTATTCATTACCAAATTTTTTAGAAGTTAGATAAGGAATTAAAATATAGTAATAAAGATGTATTCATCATTTATGTTATTACAATTGTATTAATATGTACACTGTTTCTGTACATACAAGCTAGAAGAATCTTCGGTATTATATTCTTATATTTTTTATTGATCGATACATTACGATATATCGTAACATTAAAATAACAAAATGATTGAGAGTTGTAATTAAACTTTTATAGACCGTAATTTATCAAGATTTAAGTTTCAGACTCTATCTTCTCCTTTGTTTCGTTATTTTCGGATGTATTTCTATTTTTTTCTTCAGATTTTGATTCTTTGTCAGATTTCTTTTCTTTACTAGATTTTTTTTCGCTCTTTTCTTTATCAACCTTATCACCCTCATTCTTTTTGCCATTATCCGATTTATCTTTGCTTCTTCTATCTTTGTCTTTATCTCTCGATTTTTCTGAATACTTTGATTTCGAGGATCTGGACTTAGATTTAGATCTTGACCGTCTAGACTTGGATTTTGAACGTTTACTTCGAGATCGAGAACGGCTCCTTCGACGAGGAGATCTTTTTTTGCGATCTTTGGATTTAGATCTTGATCTACGTGATCGAGAACGTCGAGATCTGGAGCGGGAACGATGTCGGCCACGAGAGCTACTTCTTCTACGAGAAGGTGACTTTCGTCTACGATCTTTAGAACGAGAACGTTTCGAACGAGATCTTGATCTTCGTCGATGACGTGATCGTGAACGTCTGTGACGAGAACGTGATCTTTTGCGCGATCTGGACCGTCTACTACGTCCTCTTGATCTCGACCGAGATTTTCGGCTACGAGAACCGCTACGGCTTCGTTTGTCCTTTGACAGCATTCCGATCATTGGATCTATCGCAGCCGAAATTAAATTGTGAGCTTCCTTTACCCGGGACATAGCTTCTTCTATTTCTTTTTGTGCTGCTTCATTACTTTTTGCTTCAGGTTTTGCTATTGCTTGAGTCGAATGATAAATTTTAATTGGTCTGTCCATAAGCAGCTTTCCATTCAATAATAATGCAGAAACTACAGCAGCTTGTTCAGAGAGTTCTACTAATGCATAGTGCTCTGTATCTGAATCTCTAGTACACATGCGTAAATACTTCACTTCAACATTGTTATTACTGAAAAAATCTAGTAAGTGATCTGTTGTCACAGAAGGATCTAAATTGGCAAGGACAAGCGTTCTTCTTATTTCTTCAATCCTTCTGCTATCTAAATGGCCAGGTAAATGTGGATAAGGTGGTAATCCGTTTGCCTCTAATTTTGGATCCATAGTGGTAATAACATGATTTGGAGGAATCCCTTCTATTGCATTTACAACATTTGGTGGCAATTTGGGCTCAGAAGGATAAAGACCTATGAATAAAAATTATATACATATATAGAACTAAAAATGAAGTTTACGGAAGGATGATATAAGATAAAAATTTGATTATCATTAATGTTTACCTGGAACAACTGTACCATTATTTGTCAATTCAAGGGCTCTTTGTTCATCTGGAATGTCTCCATTCTGGTAAGGTATTACAATCAATGCACGATCAATAAAAACAGTGTTTGTCATATGTTGAGCAACTGCAACGCATCCCTGGTCGTGAAATTTTATGTAGCAAATACGGGATTGAACAGGTACTGCAACGTCCCGTATAGTAGGATATAATCTAATATCTTCTATCTTTCCGAGGTACCCGAATAAAGTTTGCATTTGATCTTTTGTCGCTTGAGGTGCAATATTTGTCACCTGTACTACTTTTGTAGATCCAACCGCCATTCTTTTCTCAATTTTGTAAAAAATCTCTTTAATATACTCGAAAGAGGTTAGGTTTCTGAAGGATACGGCTTCAATACTAATTCTGCATGCGAACGAATTGTACACGCTACGCGAAAAAATTAATTTAATTGATACATTACGG